TCCTAGATCTAAAATATACCATAGATCAAATGGACCTAGTTGATGTCTACAGAACATTCCATCCAACTTCTACACAATATACATTCTTCTCAGCAGCCCATGGAACCTTCTCCAAAATAGATGACATCCTAGGGCACAAAGCAAGCCTCAGCAAATATAAGAAAATAGAAATTATACCATGCACTCTATGTGATCACAATGCAATAAAACTAGAACTCAACAACAAAAATAAAGACAAAAAAGAAACATGCAAACAGCAGGAAACTGAATAACTCATTGCTTAATGAACAATGGGTCATTGATGAAATAAAAGAGGACATTAAAAAGTTCCTGGAAGTCAATGAAAATGAAAACACAACCTATCAGAACCTATGGGACACAGCAAAGGCAGTCCTGAGAGGAAAGTTTATAACCATGACTGCATATGTTAAAAAGACTGAGAGATCCCAAATCAATGACCTAATGATACATCGCAAACTCCTAGAAAAACAAGAACAAGCAAATCCCAAAACAAATAAAAGGAGAGAAATAATAAAAATAAGAGCTGAAATCAATGAAATAGAAACCAAAAAAACCATACAAAGAATTAATGAAACAAAAAATTGGTTCTTGAAAAAATAAACAAGATTGATAGACCTCAGGCAAACCTGACTAAAATGAGGAGAGAAAAAACCCAAATTAGTAGAATCAGGAATGCAAAAGGGGAGATAACAACAAACACCATGGAAGTCTAGGAAATCATCAGAGACTACTTTGACAACCTATATTCAAATAAATTCAAAAATCTTAAAGAAATGGACAGATTTCTAGATACTTATGATCATCCAAAACCGAGCCAAGAGGAAATTAATCACCTAAACAGATCTATAACACAAAATGAAATTGAAGCAGCAATCAAGAGTCTCCAAAAGAGAAGAAAAGTCCAGGACCTGATGGATTCTCTGCTGAATTCTATCAGACCTTTAAAGAAGAACTGATACCAACCCTCCTTAAACTGTTCCATGAAATAGAAAGGGAAGGAAAACTGCCAAACACATTTTATGAAGCCAATATTACACTTATCCCAAAACCAGGCAAAGACACCTCCAAAAAGGAGAACTATAGGCCAATCTCCTTAATGAACATTGATGCAAAAATCCTCAATAAAATAATGGCAAACGAATTCAACAACACATCAAAAAGATCATTCACCACGACCAAGTAGGCTTCATCCCAGGATGCAGGGGTGGTTCAACATACAAAATCAATAAATGTAATAAACCACATTAACAGAAGCAAAGACAAAAACCACTTGATCATCTCAATAGATGCAGAAAAAGCCTTTGATAAGATCCAACATCATTTCATGATAAAAGCTCTAAGAAAACTAGGAATAGAAGGAAAGTACCTCAACATTATAAAAGCTATATATGACAAACCTACAGCCAGCATTATACTTAACGGAGAAAAACTGAAACCATTCCCTCTAAAATCAGGAACTAGACAAGGATGCCCACTATCTCCACTCCTATTCAACATAGTACTGGAATTCCTAGCCAGAGCAATTAGGCAAGAAGAAGGAATAAAAGGAATACAAATAGGTAAAGAAACTGTCAAAATATCCCTATTTGCAGATGATATGATCCTATACCTTAAAGACCCAAAAACTCTACTCAAAAGCTCCTAGACACCATCAACAGCTATAGCAAGGTAGCAGGATATAAAATCAACATAGAAAAATCATTAGCATTTCTATACACTAATAATGAACAAACTGAAAGAATATATGAAAACAATTCCATTTACAATAGCCTCAAAAAAATCAAATACCTAGGTGTAAACTAACAAAGGATGTGAACGACCTCTACAAGGAAAACTAAACTTCTGAAGAAAGAGATTGAGGAAGACTATAGAAAGTGGAGAGATCTCCCATGCTCATGGATTGGTAGAATCAACATAGTAAAAATGTCTATACTCCCAAAAGTAATCTACATGTTTAATGCAATTCCCATCAAAATCCAATGACATTCATCAAAGAGATTGAAAAATCTACCGTTAAATTTATATGGAAACACAAGAGGCCACGAATAGCCAAGGCAATACTCAGTAAAAAGAACAATGCAGGAGGTATCATGATTCCTGACTTCAAACTATATTACAAAGCAATAGCAATAAAAACAGCATGGTACTGGCACAAAAACAGACATGAAACCAGTGGAACAGAATAGAGGACCCAGATATGAAGCCACACAACTATAACCAACTTGTCTTTGACAAAGGTGCTAAAAATATATGATGGAGAAAAGACAGCCTCTTCAACAAAAACTGCTGGGAAAACTGGTTAGCAGTCTGCAAAAAACTGAAACTAGATCCATGTTTATCACCCTATACCAATATTAACTCAAAATGGATCAAGGATCTTAATATCAGACCCCAAACTCTAAAGTTTGTACAGGAAAGATTAGGAACTACTCTGGAATTAGTAGGTATAGGGAAGAACTTTCTCAATGGAACCCAGGCAGCTCAGCAACTAAGAGATAGCATAGATAAATGGGACTTCATAAAACTAAAAAGCTTCTGCTCACCAAAAGAAATGGTCTCTAAACTGAAGAGAACACCCACAGAGATGGCAAAAAAAAATTTGCCATCTACACATCAGACAAAGGACTGATAACCAGAATATATAGGGAACTCAAAAAACTAAATTCTCCCAAAACTAATGAACCAATAAAGAAATGGGCAAGTGAACTAAACAGAACTTTCTCAAAAGAAGAAATTCAAATGGCCAAAAAACACATGAAAAAATGCTCACCATCCCTAGCAATAAAGGAAATGCAAATTAAAACCATACTAAGATTCCATCTCACCCCCCCGTTATAATAGCCATCATTAGCAACACCACTAGCAACAGGTGTTGGCGAGGATGTTGGGGATAAACGAACCCTCTTACACTGTTGGTGGGAATGTAAACTAGTACAACCACTCTGGAAAAAAATTTGGAGGCTTCTTAAAAATCTAAACATTGATCTACCATATGATCCAGCAATACCACTCTTGGGGATATACCCAAAAGAATGTGACTCAGGTTACTCCAGAGGCACCTGCACACCCATGTTTATTGCAGCACTATTCACAATAGCCAAGTTATGGAAACAGCCAAGATGCACCACTACTGATGAATGGATTAAGAAAATGTGGTATTTATACACAATGGAATTTTATGCAGCCATGAAGAAGAATGAAATGTTATCATTTGCAGGTAAATGGATGGAGCTGGAGAACCTCATTCTGAGCAGGGTTAGCCTGGCCCAAAAGACCCAAAATCGTATGTTCTCCCTCATATGGGGACACTAGATCAAGGGTAAACACAATAAGGGGATTGGACTTGATCACATGCTAAAGCGAGAGCACACAAGGGAGGGGTGAGGATAGGTAAGACACCTAAAAAACTAGATAGCATTTGTTGCCCTCAAAGTAGAGAAACTAAAGCAGATACTTTAAAGCAACTGAGGCCAATAGGAGAAGGGGACCAGGAACTAGAGAAAAGGTTTGTTCGAGAAGAATTAACTTAGAAGGTAACACACATGCACAGGAAATCAATGTGAATCAACTCCCTGTATAGCTATCCTTATCTCAATTAGCAAAAACCCTTGGTCCTTCCTATTACTGCTTATAGTCCCTCTTCAAGAAAATTAGAGATAAGAGCAAAATAGTTTCTGCCTGGTAGGGAGGGTTGGGAGGGTAAGGGAGGAGGTGGGGGGGTTAAGGGAGTGGTGGGGAAGGTGGGAGAAATGACCCAAACATTGTATGCACATATGAATAAAATAAGAAAAAAGAAACCAATGTGACAATACCTAACACCAAATAACTGTACACTTACAACTGGTTAAGACGGTAATTTTTTTTAAATCACAATTTTAAAAACTATGAAAAGAAAAAGCTTATGAAAAAAATAAAAACCTCAGTAGTGAGTTCCGATTATATGATGGGCATTGGCAATTTCTGTACATTTTATCACTTAATCAACACAATAGCTGTTGAATCAATGCTTGTTAGATGAAAAGGTGGCTCTGTTGATTAAGGAGAGTGAACCAGCAGAGGACAGTAGTGATTTTATTGGAGGATCCTGACACCTAGTGGCTATTGCCACCTTAACCTAAAGACCTTTAGAACAGGCTGAGTCAATGGTCACTTTTCTGAAGTTCCTAGACTTTAATAAGAACTGAAGGTTAAAGTTTCATTTTGTCAAGAAATAGACACATCTAAATAATTTGACCAAGGTTTATGGGGATTCACGACAGCAGTGACAGTGCCTCTGGACACCAGTGATGGAAACACAGCCCCAGAAATAAGGAGACATTTATCGTACTTGGAAATATATCCTGCAGTTAGGAACTTCCCCAGGTATCCTTTTCTTTCTTTCCTCCTTTTTAAACTTTCATTTAGTATGCCTAACTGCTTTGTCTTGTAAAATGCCTATAGTAGCTGGGTGTGGTGGTGTGTGCTTGTAATTCCAGCACTCAGGAAGCTGAGGCAGGAAGATCTTGAGGCAGGTCAGGCTGTGCTTATAGCAAGACCTTGTCTCCAAAAAAAAAAAAGAAAAGAAAAAAGCCTGTGTCAACCAGTAGGCTCATTACTGACGGCCGAGAGATTGGAATAAAGGGAAAGAAACACACGGTATTGGAATTCTTTTTGGGATAATTCTTCAGATGAGTTAAATTAGTATCAAAGGAAATTCATAGGTTTAAAGGCTGAAGTTGTAAATTGGCAAAAGGTTTCAATCCTGCTAATTTAAATCAGGATTAAAGATGAAAGGTTCTAGATCCATAAATTATTTAATGGCTAGGAGTTTCAGCATGTGTTTACTGTGTCCATTCATGACTTTTAATATTTTTCAAAGAATAGGGAACAAAACCAGAAGGTTGTCTGTTTAATTTCACATAAAAAGAATGTGGCCCTCAGGGTTGGTGCACACCCTTCCAAGAATTATGAATGGAGCCAGGCTGTTCTTTTCTCTCCAGGCACTTGGCAGACAGAAAGGCCGAGCTGGAGCGAGTGAACAGAATCAACCAGTGCCTGCAGGAGGACTGGGAACACAGTGCTGCCATGAAGAAGCAGCGGGACCTGGAGGAAAAGGCATTTGAGAGGTGAAATCACCATGAAATCGCAAGTTCTTTGTTTGCAAGGAAATCCCCCCAGCTCTTGTTCCCTTTCCTCTAACCTGGGAGGACAGATGGGTTCCAAAATTGTTCTCCAGACCCTATCTCAAAAAACCCTTCGCATAAAAGGGATGGTGGAGTGGCTCAAGGTGTAGGCCCTGAGTTCCAATCCTAGTACCAATAAAAAACAAAAAAACAAATCAAATCTGAGCACACCAAAATAACAGTTTAAATGGCCAATTATCAACCAATTCTTATCATGGCTAATTTTTTTTCTTGACAAATATTGATGTGTAACTCTTTTTCTTTTAGATTTTCTTGTAAGGCACTTTCCACCTGTCTTTCTAATGGGTGGAACTCACATTTTATAACTGGGTTTCAATGGAAAAGTGGGGTTGTTTGGTCTACAGGAGAAGGGAAAGGGGAGTTGGAGAGTTCATGCTATTTTCTCAAGATTGTGGGAAAGCAAGTAAAGGCAACAAGATTAATTCTAGAGAGATTTTATTTCGATTTAGGAAGAATGCTTGGTCAACATGATAATAAAATATACAGGACAGGAAATAATTTTGAGTGTCAAGCTAACAAATTTTCTCCAGGGACATGGCAGAGTAGATCTGATACCTGAGAATCTAGGCCATGTTCTACACAGGGACTAACACATCAGGTAACAAGAAGAAAGTGGCTGATTTAAAATGAAAACAAGCAAAAGCAAAAATGAGGTTCATATGTGTACAGTTAGCACAAGCTAACATTACCAAGGCGAGCCAGGTAGGTCTTCCTTACCCACTTCCAGGTATGTCCGTGAGTGTGTGTGCGTGTGCGTGTGCGTGCGTGTGTTACTGGGGTTGAATTAAGGGTCTTGTGCTTGCGAGGCTCTACCACTTGAGCCATGCCTCCAGCCTAAGGCTGTCCTTGATGCTTTTTTTTTTTACAGAATTCCTCCCATGCAGAAATGTTGAAGGGCAGGGCAGCACACCAAGGAGTGGCTTGCATAACCTAGTGGAAAGTCAGCTCCTGATAACTCTTCTTCTCTGCTTCCAGCCACCTTTGTCCTTTTGTCTCCACTTTCTCTCCTGCCCTGAACTGCCAGAGGCTCTGAACTTCTAAGGCTTTCCTTTGCGGGCCTACTCTTAGCTCTTGGCAGGTGTTAAACTGTTAATCTGCTGCTTAATGGCCTGATTTCCCTCTTAAATGCTGTCCTGGGAGAGGAAGTAGTGGTGTATCCACTTGGCAAAATAGCAAACACCTTAGTTGGCTGTGTGACCTTGGGCCTCGAGTGTTCTCAGGTGTTGTGTGAGTGTGGCTAGACAGGATGATAGAGTCAGACTGCTGTGAAGGTACCAACTCATGATGCTTGATTTAGTGGAAAAGAGATTTGGAAGCAGGGGCTGCCAAAATATGGAGTGAGCAGCAGGTAGCAGGGAGAGACAGCAGGGGGTTGTAAGTGTCTTGGAAGCAGCAACCAGGTGTGGTTTTTCTTTTATACCACCACTCCTTCTAGGGACTTGGGGAAACCTCCTGACCACTGCTTTTGCTCTTCTCTCCTCAGGGCCTCCAACAAGCTGTTCCTCTTGGACCAGTGTGAGAAGTATGGGCGCTGCCTGCAGTGCCAGAGGCGCACCTCCAACGTGGGCAAGAGCAATGTGTGGCCCCTGAACAAGCTCATGCAGGGCTCTCGGTTGCTCGTGTAGAAGTCACAGTTTGAGCTTGCATTTCCTGAGAGATGCTTTTATACCTTTCACATGTTTGGAGTGATTGAAACACTGTATATTTGTACCTCGGAGGAAAAAAGTATTTTTCGGGTGTGGTGTTTTGACCACTTATTAAATTCATGTCAGCAGATTGTCCCCTCCTGCCTTCCTCTCACTCCTATCTATTTCCCAACCTTGTCTCTGATGGCATTGAAGATGCCTGGGTGGCCCTGAGGCTGGAACCCAGGGTGGGTGGCTCTTGAGGTGTGGCTCTGCCATGCCCTCTGTGACTTTATGTGAGAAATTTCATCTCTAATGAATACTGTCATAATAAATATTTTCTATGATAATTCATAATGGTAATTTTGACCTCTCCCCCAATCCTAGACTTTTCCAGAAGACTGTGTATGTATGGACATCACTCAGGTAGGTTAGGCTAGTCATCTCAGGGGTCAGAGTGTTGTAGCCCAGGTTTTCTAATTGATGATACTCTGGGCTTTGTTAGGGTCCAAGGGATATCATTCCCTTGGAGACCCCTGGGTAGGACCTTCTGTTGCTTGGCTGGATTAGCAGGTGCCACCTTCTCTCATGGCTTCACTTGCATCCATTGTTAAGCATCCTTGCATTCTTATGTTGGGTTGAGGAGGACTTACCTTCCAGCATGAAGGACTGATTTAAGAAGACTGATTTAAGGTAGGTTTAGCCAAAGACTTCCTTCATTTATCTTTATCATTTCCCTCTCTTTGCCCTACTCTAACCACCTTGGGTATAATAATTAGAATGAGTAATTTTAATAATTAGCTTCCTGAACTATAAAAGCTAGGAAGAAAGTCTCTTAGCTGTTTGCCTTCTGCCTGCCACATATCTCCCCAAGAAAATGAGGGAGTGTACATGTAGAGAGATGTTTGTGAATATTTAAAAACTTGCTTTGCCCTACTACAAATGTAAAGCAGGAATATCTTGAGCTCTGAATAGAGAAGAGGAAAATACTGGCTCAAGTTGATCTCGTTAGTGGATATTGCTAATTCTAATGCCTGCTGATGATTGAAATTCCTTGAAACCTCTTCCACAGCCTCCTACAGGGCTGCCTCCTTGCACTTTTTTCCCCCCAAAGAGATCTAACTACCATCAACCAATATTGAAAACACTGTTTGCCTTTTACCAGGATTGACTTACCTAATTCACACCTGCTGTACTCTTGGAGTGTTACTCGCTCTCTATCATACAATAAATTGCTATGATAATGTATTAATATGAGTTAAAATATAGACTGCTTTGTTAAAGAAAAAAGATTTTAGATAATTTTGGTATGTTCAGGTGAGTGGATTTAATGTTATAGATATCTGTGACTGAAGGAACTGAACTTGTTATATATAACTTATTGCCATTGGAGCAGTGCTGACTCAGTATGTGACAAGCACTGAACAAATTTTTGGTGACTTGGAGATTAAGACCTCAGCAATCTCTGCCTGCCTTCAGGGTGCAGAGGTGAGACATGACTAGAAAACTCTCTGTAACCAGGTAAACCAGGTAAACATTGAATAGCACAGCACATTCCTCGCCAATGTGGAGCCCTTGCTGTCCTAAAAAAAGGGCTAGAAATGCTATAAATTAATTTCTTCAAAGAAGCAGAGTTTTCATTCATTAGTTTTCTAGATCACATGACTTTTTCTTTGGTGCTTAATTAGCACCAATTTCTATCCTTTATTATTTCTGTTTTTCTGCTTGCTTTGGGTTTAGTTTGCTCTTTTTCTAGTTTATTAAGGAAGGAAGTCAGGTCTTTGATTTGAACCTTTCTTCTTTTCTAATGTAACCATTTAATGCTATAAATTTCCTTTCTAGCTTTAGCTGCATTCTATAAATAGGACAAGTTACATTTTCATTTTCCTCCCATTCAAAATATTTTCTATTTTTTGACTTTCTCTTTAATCCATGGCATATTTAGAATAGTAATTTACAAATTTTTTTTGAGATTTTACAGATTATAATTGATTTCTACTTTAATTTCTAGTTTCCTTTATTATCAGAGCATATGCTCTGTATAATCTAATTCTTTTAAATGTTAAGGTTTGTTTAAGCTCAGGATATAGCATGTCTTGCTGAACATTCTATGTGTGCTTGAGAAGAATATGTATTCTACTGAGTGAGTGGTGTTCTATAAATGTTAAGTCAAGTTGGTTTGTAATGTTTAGGCCCTCTGTAACTTTGCTCATTTTCTCTCTACTTGTTCTATCAATTACTGAGAAAGGAATGCTGGCGTTTCCAAGTAAAATTGTGGATTTGTCTATTTCTCCTTTTAGTGCTGTTAGCTTTGAGTCATGTAGCTTGATACTTTGTTTGTTGGTGCATACACATTTAAGATTGTCATGTCTTTTTGGTGATTTGACTCTTTTATTATTAAACAATGCTTTCATTTATTCCCGCCTTTGCCAATATTCCTTGTTATGGAATCTCTTTTGCCTGTAGATATATAGCCACTCCAACTTTCTCAGGGTAAGCTTGCATGGAATAGCTAATTTCATACTTTTAATTTTACTGCATCTATGCCTTTGTATTTTAAAAGGATTTCTTATAGATATGCAGTTGGAGCTTTAAAAAAAATCCAACGTGACAATCTTATTTTATCAATTTGTTGTTTGAAATCATTGGTATATTTGAACTTATGTATACCATTGTATTATTGTAGTATTTTCTGTTTGTCCCTTCTGTATTTTCTTCATATGATGCTCCTTCTGCTTTCTTTTGAATTCATTGAGTATTTTTAGTGCTCCATTTTAATTTACCTTCTGGGTTGTTTAGGCTATATTTCTTGTTGTTTTTTTTTTGTGATTAGTTTAGAGCATGAACTAATTTTTCATAATCTAGTCTTAACATTTCACTACTTCAGATAAAATATAGCAACTTTGTAACAATATAAATCCCTTTATTCTTCTTCTGTTTTTTTGGTCAAATGTCATATGTATTACAAATCCCAAGCAAAACATGTATTGAAAATCCCAGGCAATATTACAATTCTTGCTTTAAAAATTAATATAGTTTAAACTGGGTGCTGGTGGCTCATGCCTGTAATTCTAGCTGCTCAGGAAGCAGAGATCAGGAGGATCACAGTTCAAAGCCAGCCTGGGCAAAAAGTTTGAGAGACCCTATCTTGAAAATAGCCAACAGAAAAATATGGACCCAAGTGGTAGAGCACCAGCTTAGCAAGCATGAGTTCAAACCCCAGTACTAGTTTAAAAAACATAAGAGGAAAGAGTCTGTTTCTTTTTAATTTTATAAATCATTGTGTTCTATTGTCTTTAGAATAATGCAGCTGTGCAGAGCTGTGTTCATCCTGACCCTGAAGTCTCCTTTCTCTATGTTAAGGTATTCAGGACATTGTAAGTGCTCTGTGTTTACTCAGGAGAGATGGATTTTTTAAAATCCTTTTATCTCCCATCTAAGGAAGACCTCAAGGTCCACTGCCTGCCTTATTTCCCCTGCATTTCCATACTGACATCATTTTCATTTCCCTGAAAAGTACATCTGGAAGTCCTTTTCATGGCAGAGTTTGTATTCCTTTTCAATTTTGCATAATGTTAAATCTGACTCCCAGTGATGCATACCTGCTTAGGTCATTTCCTGTTTTGCTATGACAAAAGCTATAGTACAGACCCCACAGCAGCCTTGGCTGGGGGATGGATGCTCTGGAACCTCCAGAGCATCCTGTCATGAGGGAGGGGTGGACACTGCTCGTAGCACTCAGCAGGCCCTGCCACTAGCTGTGGCTGAGGCCAGGCTAGAGAGGGAGGAGTTGAATTCAGCCCAGACTGCTGGGCAGATGACAGTGCTGGCTGCTTTCAGGCCCTCCGATACTCAGGTGCCATCCCTGGCTCCACAGCTGGCAGAGCTTCTCAGTCCTACACCAATTACAGCTCCCCAGAGCAAGGATATTAACCTTTTTGCTGCATGGCCCAGCCCTCAGGCAGCAGCAGCCCAGGTGTCTCCACACAAATTCGAGCCCTAGCATCACCAGCTTCTAGCTGTGGGAAGAACCGTTGGGAAGCAGGAGGTGCAAACACAGCTAAATTTGAATGGGGAGAGCAGCCGAAGTCCTCAAGGGCTCATCTGGCATGCTGGCTGGAATCTGCACATCAGGGAGGCCACATTCAGGCCCAGGACACCTGTGGGCTTCTGGAAGATAGCTGACCCTCAAGCAGAAGTGGCCTATTTTTCTCAGGGTTCCCAGAAGGCCCTGTTGGCCTAAGTAGTTGGGGGCGAGCATCTCAAGCAGTCCAGGACCTGGGATGGGGACCTGTGTCCAGGCCACCTCTCTACCAAGGCTCCTCTGGCTTCTCTTTGGTATTTGAGCATTCTGGTTCTGAAACCAGACTGAATTTGTGGCTCTGGAATCTGGATCAGTCTGGATAGCTCTTCTCTGATGCTGAAACCAGGATCTGGGTTTCTTTCATAGACCTCAATAAGGACCTTGTACTGCTCTTTGCCAAACTTGGTCCTCCTGCATCTCAGGCCTTGTTGGTGCACTGGGAGAGCAGCCTGCATTTCTTTGTGTTTTTGCTGACCAAGAGCCTTGGTGGGAAACTAGTCTGTTTTTTAACTAATTCGTTTGCTCTTCCTCTTTTCCTGAGGTCCAGTTTTTTTCTGGTGTTTCTTTTCAGCCTGAAAAACTTCCTTCAGCATTTTGCTAGAACAGATTTGCTGGCTATTAGTTTTCATTCATCTAAGAATATCTTTATTTTGCCTTTATTCCTGAAGGGGATTTTTACTGGATATAGAGTTGTGGGTAGATGGTTATTTCTATTAGTCTGTCATTTCTGGTTCCATGATTTCTTATGGGATACCAGTCATTCGAATTATTGTTCCCTATTTGTAATGTGTTGTTTTGTCTGCTGCTTTCAAGATACTCTTCTCTATTTTTGGTTTTCAGCAGTTTGCTTATGTCTTTTGGGGTAGAATTGTTTTAGTTTATTATATTTCGAGTGTACTGAGTTTTAAACATCTGT